CCTCCAGCTCCACCACACCCGGCACTTTTCCCTGCAACCGCAGGAAGTGCGACACCTGCCCCCATACCTCCTCCCTCACCCCCATCCCAGGCCCCAAGAAGACTTTCCACATCAAGCAGATGTTCACCTGCACATCTGCCAATGTGGTATACTGCATCTGCTGTACACGGTGTGGCCTCGTCTACATCAGGGAAACCAAGTGGAGGCTCGGGGACCGCTTTGCAGAACACCTACGCTCGGTTCGCAATAAACAACTGCACCTCCCAGTCGCAAACCATTTCAACTCCCCCTCCCATTCCTCAAACGACATGTCCATCCTGGGCCTCCTGCAGTGCCACAATGATGCCACCCGAAGGTTGCAGGAACAGCAACTCATATTCCGCTTGGGAACCCTGCAGCCCAATGGTATCAATGTGGATCTCACAAGTTTCAAAATCTCCCCTCCCCCTACCGCATTCCAAAACCAGTCCAGCTCGTCCTCGCCTCCCTAACCTGTTCTTCCTCCCACCTATCCCCTCCTCCCACCTCAAGCCGCACTCCCATCTCCTACTTACTAACCTCATCCCGCCCCCTTGACCTGTCCGTCCTCCCTGGACTGACCTATCCCCTCCCTAACTCCGCATCTACACTCACCTTTATTGGCTCCATCCCCACCTCTTCGACCTGTTTGTTTCCTCTCCACCTATCATCTCCTCTATCCATCTTCTGTCCGCCTCCCACTCTCTCCCTATTTATTTCAAAACCCCCTTCCCCTCCCCCTTTTCTGATGAAGGGTCTAGGCCTGAAACGTCAGCCTTTCTGCTCCTATGATGCTGCTTGGCCTGCTGTGTTCATCCAGCCCTGCACCTTGTTGTCTCGTGCCCTCTTCAGCAAATTGTTTTTCAGACTGTTGTGTGGGATGAACTCTGTATTATACATTGTTAATTTTAAGAATCCAATCCCAGTTTGATGGAAATTGTCAAACTATGGTAAATGGCTTTAGATAAAAACAGTGAGTCAAGAAGTACAAAAAATCAAATTTGAGAGGCTGAAATCTCGTGACCTTGCGCAGGGGACATATTCTCACTTAGCCATGTTACCACCTGTATTGACTCATACTATAGCCTTGTGTAGCTGTAGCAGCTTTGCAGCCCCTTGCTCATCCAGGGAGGAGGTACAAGTGTCTAAAAATAGGAATTTGCTGCTTGACTTCAAACGCTCCCTCACATGTGCACTCTTACACTGTAAAGACAAGCAAAGAAATATACTTGCAATTCACATTGTGATGGATTGAATTATTACAGGGGCGTAGTTTATGATTTTAACTGGTTATGGTTGCAATGGGACCACATTAGTGAAACTGTTATGGGTACTCAATAATTTCACAAGTATATAACTGATCAGTAAGTATTAATTATGCTAGAGTTTTGAATGTGGGCCCAGAACTTCTGATTGGTGTTGGATTTGTTCCAACCCTTGCAAATTGTAGGATAAACTACCCAGTACCTGCCCATGTTATTTATGGCCAATCTTCTAATGTTGGAGTTCTCTGATGCCTTCATCATTTTACAAAGAGGATAGACCTCAACACAGGGCAAGGGAAGCAAACCAATGGCAGCAGAAGGGACTGGGAACACCCCTCAAGGGCAACTGCAGGTAACAAAGGAATTTTAAACTGCATATTAATGAAAATTCTGTGGCACTTTGTAGATATTACATTTTTTGCTCTTAAACATTTAATGTTAATTTTGCTGACTCATTAATATTTTAAAATTTTCTATTACAATTTTAATGGTTTTATTTAGTTTCTACCTGTGATTAGTTTTTTTCTCATTTAATAAACAGTATTCCTTAATGAACTCTAGTGAATGCATACTTGACAGGTAAGCAGGACAGAACCCTCCAAAGTCTCTAGCTCTGAGAATTGATGAAGTTTTCAGAGGGTCCCAAATGCTGGGTAAATTGCCCATTGGAAGCTTAAACTTCTTGGATAATTCATGTGGGGTCAGGTACATCGTGACTTCCACTTGGTTCATATATGTACTGCAGCAATGTCTGTCCTCCTATTGAAAGACCTGGGCCATGGGGGTATGCATAGTGGCAAGAATGAAGCAAAATAAATATAGATTTTTTTTTTTGTTTTTGAAATATTTAGTATTGTAGATAATTGGTCAGCGGTTCCTATTTTAGAAATTATTCTGCCTCATGAGTTCAGTTAAGTTTTAAAAGAACAGGATCAATGTGACTCAGTATATCAAAAATTGAATATATAGTTTAATAAAAGTATTACATTCAAGATTACTGTTTTACATGTCCAGTTAAATCTGGCACTTTTCTTCTGAAACTGGTTCCTTATGTTTTTGGTTTGCATTAGAAGCTTGAGTTATGAAAGGAAAGTCACAAATCCTTTTGATGAAAGGCTATACAGTGAAAGTCTTTATCGTATGGAGAAATTTAAAGTACTAAGAATCAGCTAAGTTTAGTAGATGACCATTTTAAGTTGCGTACTTGATAAAGTTAATGTTTGTACAATATTGTGAGCTTTCGTATCTCGTCTTGTAGTTCCCTCAATTATCAAAAGGTTGTTACCCATGATTCTCACCGCCGCCCCCACCCCAGCCCCAAGCAATTTCTGCCTGTCTAGTGGTTCTCGTGATGCCATAGTATGACAATGGGGGAGGTAGAAAGGCAGGCCCTGAGAATTACATTAGCTGGTGCTAGGACCAAATCTGTCACATTGGAGTTATTAAGCACAAGCTCTAATCAACTCCTATAACAACCTTCACCTTACATCTGCTTTTCAATATGGCAAAGATGAGGTGGCAGGGGGCCTTAGTAAAATAAATAGCTGCTCAATGTTTGATAAGCATCTACCACTGTCATATCAAATGTAGTGATCATTTCTGAAACGTTTTAAAAATAACATTTAACATGTTAACAGAATGTCAGAAATAGTTCATTATGTAACTCTCAAGCTTTTATTTGTCTTTTAGGGATGGTCTTGCTGCAAGAGACGCACCACAGATTTTTCTGATTTCTTGAATATTCCGGTAAGATTATGTTAGATGTAGCTGAGATACTGGTTTGCTGCTTGATTTAAAGTCATTTACTTCTTTGCCATGTGGCACTTTGGACGTATAATACTGACAAATATTTGTGTGGCAAAATATTGTTGGGATGACGTGTTAATATTCTTACAGGTGAAAGTAAATGTCGAGATTGCTATTTTTGACAGGAAATCTGGTCCCAGTTTGTAGCTTAGCACAGTTATGTAAATTAGTATGATATAAACTCCTAATTACGTTTTATTTAATAGCTTTTATTTAACTTCTCCTGATTCTTGAAAGCTTGCGGTGGAACACAAATAAAAAAAGTCCAGACATACTGGATGTATGTTCTATACACTCTATAGGTGTTCTATAGACTTCCCTTTCTCCATAGGAAATGTTAATCCTACAACAAAGTCCAGTAAATTGGTTAAACATGACTTTCCTTTCTCAAAATCATGCTGACTGTTCCCGATTACTTTTCAGTTTTTCTAAGTGCACAACTGTAGCCTTTTAAATGTTCAATTCTGAAATCTTCCCCATGATAATCCCCACTATCACCATGCTGGGGGATACCATTGACCGACAACTCAACTGGACTTGTCGAATATAGTGGTGACAAGAGCAGGTCAGAGGCTAGGAATCGTGCAACAAGTAATTCACTTCCTGACTGTCCAAAGTCTGCCCTCCATCAGTAAGCATACAATCTCTACAGTGCACATAGAGGCCTCCTGGCCAATTGAGTCAACCCTCCGAAAAGCTTCCCACCCAGACCCACCCACTCCAGGGCAGCTGGGGATAGACAATAAATGCTGGACAGCAGCAATACCCATGTCCCACGAGTGAATAAAAAAAATGAAAGGTCTCTGACATTCAAGAAGGATAGGAAGCGAAGTAAAGGTGGCTGGGTAGCATTGTTCATAAAGATGATATTGGCGTAATTGGCTTTGTTTAAGGAAATCAGTGAAGGTCTGTTTCCCTGCTTTATGACTCTGAAATGCCAAACAGTTATAGGCCAGATAGTCTTTCTTCAGTGATGGGCAAACTGTTAAAATCAACCCTGAGAGATAGGATAAACTGCCACTTAGAAAGGTATGGAGTAGTCAGGTCCAGCATGGCTTTAAGGGAAGGTCATGCGTTACAACTTTTGAATTCTTTGAGGAAGTGACAAATATCAGTGAGGCTAACGCAGTGGAAGTGACTACATGGATTTCAAAAAGGCATTTGACAGGGTCCCACATGGCAGACTAGTTTAAAAAAAAATAAAAGCCTTGGAATATGGGCTAATGTGTCGAATTAGATTCAAAGTTGGCTCAGTAACCTGAAACAAAGGGTAATGAACATTGGGAGGCTTTGAGTAAAACACACTTTTTATTCTTATGCCACAGTTAAAATATAAACTAAAACAAGAACCGACGTAACTTTAACTGTACTGAAATACTTAACAAAATAATATATCATACTACTCATCAACTATTCCAATATAGCAGTATCCCAAAAACACATCCTCGGCAAAGGCAAATTCAGCAAAACAGATTTCCTCAGGTACTGTCTCCAGTTCAGGAGAAAGGAACAGTGAAATAATGAGTCTAGGAGCAGAGAAAGAAATCAGACTTCTGACTGCAGCAGTGAGTGTTTAATTTTAAGGAAAAAAACCACTTGGGGAGCTCAAAGCTGTTTATCCACTACTTCTGAAGGAGACATTCCGGCACACTGGCAACACCTCTCTGCGTGAGAAACAGCACAGAACAAATCCCTCTTAAAGGCATAGGACCATCATACTAGTCTCATCATGTATGCCAGTTCACTTCAGCTAGTTTAGCTTTTATGCACATATATTTGCCCTTAAGTGTAAAATATTAGTCTTGAACCAAACCTTCTCCTTTTTGAATTGAATATTCTGTTGTTGTGAATCTTGAATTAACCTTGTCGTATTACAGAATAACAAGTCTAAAGTAACTTACTGTTTAGTTGTTTCCAGCATGCTACTATGACCCTTTTGAATTTTCCACTTTATATGTAGATTGAAGTCACCATAATTATTGCTGTCCCTTTATTGCAGGCACCCAGTATATCATCTTGTATACTTCACCTTGGTTATTGTTAGGGCGCTTGTAGACCATTCATTTATGTTGCTGGCTTGTCTATCAGTCCGTCCGTCCGTCCACCCACCCACCCACCCGATAAACAGACCCTTCCTTCCCTTGCAGCTGTGCACGTACCTATGCCTGTAGGTGGGAATGATAGGAAAGCTAAACAAAAGGAAACAGATGTCGTTCTTCCCACTCACCAAACCGCCTCTCACCAAGCCCCAGGTCTGCTCTTGATTTCCTTGACTCGCATCATATGCCTGGACAGAGCGAGCTTTCTTTCAGAACTGTGATTAGCGGAATAGACTGCATGGGCATGACAGCTTCTCTGCTAATCACAGATTCTGTGTAGATCCTTTGTGCCAATTGGGAAAATTTGTATCCTGACAGTGCATTAAACATCTACTATTAATTTCCCAAACCTCTTCAGGCAGGTTGGCTTTCCCAATCGTAATTGGTGGGGACTACTTTTGCATTCATTAGAACATCATAAATTCACGTCAACATCCTAGCCCACTGTAGTTTTGCTCAAAAGTAGTCATTGGTTAGCCAGAAATAGCAACTTTGTCTGTTCACAAACCCAACTTTATATACTGGGTATGTACCCAGTGGCATCAGCTGCTTCCTACAAGCTCTGGTGAATAAAAATGTCCTCAATAACTTGGCACCCTGAGGGGAAAAAAAAAGGCCATTTCTCTGTGTACCTGCTTGTAGTGTTAGAGCTGAAGCCTATCCTTTGTGACCAATTCATGAAAAATCTGCCACCTTCTACTCAAATACTTAGAGTTAAAGTTGAAGACTGAGCAGGTTCAATACCCCGTCCAAGTGATCAGCCATACCAGCTGATTTATAGTAAACCTGACTGGGCCAGGTAAGCAGAGCTCAACATAAAAGGAGGATTAACTGAAAAGGTGGGTAGAGAGTTAGGTTGAGTTAAAAGTTAGGGAATGAACATCGGGGACATGATTGATGGGGGTACTGGAGGGATCCTAGAGAATGGAGCAATCAATCTCTGCTGCAGAGGGAAAAGTAACAGTCATATACAGCCATGGGAACAAAGAAGCGTGGGAGTTGGATATTAAGAGTAGACAGCACAGTTGGGTAAATCGGTGAGCTTAGGAGGAAGAACAGAAGTGGAACTGAATGAGAAGAATTGTAAGGATGAGGCTGAGCATGGGAATCTCAATGGGAGGGGATGAGAGAAAGGGCCAGTCGACAAAGTGGGAGATTGAAGAAGGACAGAATGAGATGAAAAGGCTATCAAAAGTTAGTTTGGTGGGGGAAGGGAGTTGAAGTATGTAATAAGGGGTGAAAGAGTCAAAATCAAAGTTAACGACCACTATCTTTTGCCAAATAGTTTTCTCATTGAAGGTTTTTAAGAATGCAGAAGGGAGGGGACCCAGATCTCTTTGCACATCTTAGTGCAGCAAGAATACACCTAAAAGAAGCAGTTGGAACTAAAAGTGCCAGTGGTTACTGCATGAGCAGTCCCTTCAGGCTGTTGAAGTGAACATAAATAATCACTACAAAAGAAATGTGATTAAGGTCTAAAAATCGCAGTCAGATGTCACATGACACCAGGTTATAGTCCAACAGACTTATTTGAAATCTCAAGCTTGCAGAGTTCTGTTACTTCACTAGGGGAAGCTTGTGATTTCAAATAAACCTGTTGAAGCATAACCAGGTGTTATGTGACTTCTGACTTTGTCCACCCAAGTCCAACTCCGGCAGCTCCACATCATAAAAATTGCAAGCGTAAAAACCAGAAGCAAGATGAGGCAGTTCAAAATCTAGAGCCTGCTCCAACATTCAATACGATCATGTCTGATCTCATCTTGGCCTCAACTCCACTTTCCTGCCTGCTCACCAAAACTCTTTAAACCATTACAAATTAATAATCTGTGTATTTCTCCTCAAATTTATTGTGTGCTGGCATCCACTACACTCTGGGATAATGAACTCCATTAATTTGAGAGCAGAATTCTTCCTCATCTCTGTTTTAATCTGCTATCTCTTAGCCTAAAACTATGACCTGTCTCGATTGCCCCAGAAGGAAAAATGTTCGCTGTACGTCTACTTTGTCAGTTCTCTTTAGCATCTTTATACCTCAATTTGATCATCATCTGATCTCTGAGCAGTTTAGGCCTAAATTTGCCAATCTCTCATAAGGCAAGCCTTTGATCTCTGGAATTAATCTAATGATCTACCTCCAATGCAGTTATATAATTCCTCAAGTAAACAGGACCAAAACGGTACGCAGTACTCCAGATGCGGTATCATCAATGCCACAATTGCTTCAATACTCCCTACTTTTATACTCTGCTCCTTTAGTGATAAATTACTCTTTTTATTACCTGCAAACCTCCTTCCTGTGACCCTTGCACAAGGAAACCAGATCCCTGTGCACCAAAGTATTTTGACACTTCTGTCCATTTAGATAATTTGCTTTTTTTATTCTTCTAATCGAATTGGATAACATTAAATTTATAATTACTATCTCCGCACCATTTCCATTCATTCATTAATCTTTCGCAGGTAGGATCTAAAATTCACTAGTGGTGCTGTTGAAGGTTTGGGGTTGGAGGGGTATGGGAAGTTAATGCACATTAATTTGCACAGACCCATTTGTAGGCCTGTGCATGTGTGTGTTAACAACTTGGGGTGAAACTTACGCAGGCTAAAATTTCCAGTGTGTAAGGACTGCATTGCAAAGAGTAATGAATGACCAATAAATTCACATTGTTCTGCGTGCATTTGTCAAATAACATCAATCTTAAGATAAATTGCAATATATTGCACGTAGCAACAATGGGAAAGAGAAGAACCAATTATGGAGGTTGCACTTCGCCATGTACAAGTGGCAGCAGGGTAGGCTCTCACTGAAGACAGGACCAGCCTGATGAAGACCCAGAGTTACTTCAACTGTGACAAGATTGCCAAATGCAAAGCATATATCTCCATTCTTGCATTTTCTTCAGAGGGGAGTATAATTTCAAACTGGGTGTTGGAAGTACCAAATCCCACAGCTGTCTTAACCTTGATAAGATCCAAAAGATGATGGAAGAAAACAAGGGAAGGAACAAAGAGCAATGATAGCAGAATCAGAGACCTGAAGCTCCAGGGACTGCAACTGTGGATGAGTAAGCAGAGGGGAACCAGGGACTCTACCCATGTTATCCAGTGTACAGGGTATACATAGGTGTTCCTGTAGCCTCCAACTCTGTGAAGGACAGTGTAGAAGGCATTTTTATAATTAGAGAAGCTGTCACTTAACATCTGCCACCACCTGCAGACAGATCTGCAAATAGGCTTGGGAAGAAGCACTATGCCTTTGGGTTTGAAGACCATAATAGAATTGAGTTTCCTTGCTACTGGTTCCTTTCAGAGCTAAACTGGGGGACTTGGTATGGCAGCTCCTATTTGAGAGGTTCTTGATGCCCTTTTACAGGAAGGCTGTTGTTTGTCCAGCACCCAAGCTGAGATTTGCAGCAATTCTTGGTTTCTCTTAAGTGCAAGTCGCCATCGAGTACACCCATGTGGTACACAGCTCCATTGCATCATTTGGTCAAGTTCTTCAACAAGCAACTTCATTACCTCAATCTTGAACTTATTTGTAACTACAGACAACAATTCCTGAGGTCACGCTATCCAGGGAACTGTCACAACACTTAGAACCAGGGAGCTGCGCTGAACTTTTGTTTCTCCACCCCCCAACTCCAAAAATAAACATTAAATAGGTAAGGTAGAATCTGACAGCAGCTAGACTTGAGAATTAACAACTTTGCATGCAGTTTGTGGGCATTCAGATGTAATAGTCAGTTGTGATGCACAAGGCTTACTGCCCTGAAAGAAATGCCCAATTCATAATGGTGAAACTTTATTCAGCTCTGCCTGTCATACATTGGTGTAACTGGAGCAAAGAAATGTATAATTCCATATGCATGAGCTAATCTTTATTTTACTTCCTGTAAATGATTAAAAAGTGAATTTGGATATCAGAGTATTCTTTCATGTGACTGACTGATCAGACTCCTTCACTTCTCCTGGCTATCCGAGATTTCTTCTAGACAGAGACAGAATGAAAATAACGTTTTTAATAATGGGAAATCTGTAAAACTAGCTATATCTGTTTGGGCAGTTTTCTTAGAGATCAACACCGTCCCTTTGTCACTTTGACTTAAAATCTGAGCTAACATTTTGAAGGAAACCAAGCTTTGTTAAGCTTGAAAGCCAGAATTTTACTTTGATTTTTATTTTTAGGGTTGTACTAAGGGAAAGCATTCCAATGAAAAGCCTTCTGAGCCTATCAAACCTGAAGTGAAGACCTCATCAGAACCAGAGCTGAAACCGAAGAGTAATGAAAATGTTATGCAGAGCCGAAGACCAGTTGAAGCAATCGTAAGACCAAGGTAAAATTTATATATAAAACAGAAAAAATTAAGTTAGTTTGTGAGGAATGTGCCTTTAAACAAAGTCCTGATTGAAGGTCAAATAATTGGGAGCTTTTGAAATCTGTCATTGAGATCTGTATGTCTATTTAATTTGTTAAAGTTTGTGCTCTTTTTGAAAATACGTTAGTCATGTTCTGTATGAATATTAGCTCCATGGACAAGTTTTTGCTTCCTATGAACTGAAACTTTTGTACCAAATTTCTTGTAACCAAAAACTGCTGCATATGGTATGGAATCAAAGATAGTAGGAACTGCAGATGCTGGAGAATCCGAGACAACAAGGTGCAGGGCTGGATGAACACAGCAGGCCAAGCAGCATCATAGGAGCAGAGAGGCTGACGTTTCGGGCCTAGACCCTTCATCAGAAA